AAAAAAGTTCTTTAGCGAAAGAAAGAGTCTTTGTTATGTTAAACAAAACAGAATAGTCTTACTATTAACTTATATTATATTTTATACATAAAATCAACAAAAACTGATATAATTGACAACTAGAAATTTTCACTTAAATATTTTTAATATTTTATCTTAAGATGTCTATCTAAATTAACTATTCACTAATTTACACTATCTGTCTTGAATGAAAACTCTATGAATACAACTAAGCTATGTATTTTAAAATTTTAAATTCCATTACGCACACAATAAAATGTTTTGAAAATAGTAACAGTCGAGTGCAAAATAATATCATATGATAGCACTCACTATTGTTTTATGTGTATAAATGTCTCATTGTACGTTTTGTTGTTGTCATTTTGACAAATAAAACAATCAACTGCAAAATTGCAGCACAAAATGGCAACAAAGGAGAGAGTTCGTGTCATAGTTTATCATAATGCTGTGTCAGCTTCCTTTGTCACATTGTGGAGGAGATAAAAGCTTAAGCGTAAACCCACACTCATACCAACGCAATGGCACGCTCACACTTATATGCAAATATGTACATATGTATGTATGTATTKTTGAGCACTTACATGTGTCGAATGAGATGTTAAACTATTGTACGACGGTGAAGTCTTTTCGATTGTAATAAGTTTGCACTAAAGTAAATTCATAAAAATGTAACGGTAGAAGACAAAGAGCAGGAGATACGTGTAGAGCATTAAAGACATAAGATAAAGATAGAGTAGTAATATTTAGTAGCATATTCATGAAGAGTGTTAGTTAATATAGCAATTCAACTTAATTTCATAGTTCTGAGTAACACAAGTCTTTCTTTATATTTTTACTACAAACACACACACACACAAACACAACAGACTATAGTTCTTCAGTATTTGAAGCATGACTTGATGCTTCAAAAATGCACAACTAAAGCATGTTTTTGTAATAAACTGCGGTATTTAATCATATTTGGAAATAGTACATACATATATGTATATAGTTTATAAACCTATAGTAAGATCACACAAGCGCGAGCAGGGATTGACGCAAGAAATACTTAGAATGTTTAATCATAAATACATAAACACAGATATAAAGCTCGGAAATGTTTAATGTTTTAAAGGCTTATTCCAGGCAAGCTTGTTAACTTTTTAATTCAATAGTCGCTAATTAACGAGTTTTAGTCTAACTAATCGAATTATCGACTCGAAATATTAAACGTAAACAAGTGATAGAAATCCCTAAGAAATAATCCAGATTTAGATTTTTATTTGTGTAAAACTAGTAGTAGTTTTGCTAAAATAAATAATCGTATCAAGAATTGTGATTATTTCCGTTAAGCACGAAAAATATCAATTATTGTTTAGAAAATTATCGATTGCTGGAATAATGAATTGACAAGCTAACAAGAATTTAGTGAATACCCTCAATAATTTTCAAGTATTGAAAGCCACACAAGCCCCATTACATATCCATTGACAACTACTGTCACCAGTAGAAAAATTTGTGTTATCTGCTAAAATTTTGTGTGTGGTCATTTACAAATGTA